GACTTATTTCATGAATGTGACAATATCTGGTTATGACTGCTTGGCAGAAAATGACATGATTTCATATTCCCTTAGAGTTGTGTAGTATTCCATTGTGTATATAGACCCCAACTTCTTTGTTTCTCTGTCTTATGACATTAGGGTTCTGTCCATAGCTTGACTTTTTACCAGGCCCCACACCTTTAGAATTCACTTTGTGTTTTGGATATAGATGCCAAGAGGTGGCCCAGTTGGGTCTACAGAGTTTTTAGACTTCCTTGTTTGGAGAAATCGCCCTCCTTGTCCCATGGCCTCTGAGGAAGATGGAGACCCACCATTGATCAGTGAGTTTCCTGTCCCTTGCGGCCCAACACTGGCTGTTCCTATGTTTTTGGTGTATCCTGTTTTCATCAGCATAGGATGATGGAAGCTCATTGCTGTCTGGACTTGCATTCCTGTGACTCAGTCAAGTTCTCATACCCCATTGGCATCTGTGTGTCCTTCTGTGAGCAGGGCCTGTCCATTATCCTTTTGTGCTGTCTGTCTGTCCTTGAGCTCCCCTCACTCCCAGGTTCTTCAGGTGCTGATCCAGGCTGTGGGTCAGTCACTCTCACTGTGAAGCACTGTGTCTGTGTCTGAGGTTTGGGTTTCCCTGATCACGAGGGATGGAACTGCTTTCTCCCTTCGTCTTTACCACCTGAAAATTTTCTTTCCTTTTATTTTATTTCCTTTTATTACCCTCTCAGGTAGTGTTCACTCCTCAGGAATTCCCCATATCAGCCCTTGGTGGGTCGATGCCACGGTTCTAACCCAGCTAGGTCCTATGCAAGTACAGTGCCCTCCCTGCTGTCCTGTGTCCTTGGGCGTTGTCTGTCCATTTGGCCTTTTTGTTGTAGAGCAGTTGGTGTGCTCTGGACAGGCCCTACCCTGTCACTCCAGTCCCACATTGATTCAGCTCTCAGCCCCAGCAGGGGAATTTTAGTCCTTTCCCATTTGTGCGTGTGCACGCAGCCTTGTCACCGAGACTCTGCCACACTATCCCTGAGTCCACAAGGACAGTGGGCTTGGCCATGGTGGAGATTCAAGTCACGAAACGGGCAAACGCCTCCTATAAGAGGAGGAGATCAGACAGCAGCTGTACACATGCAGTGGGGCAGCAGAGTGGGGGCGGTTCCCGGAACTGTGCAGCACCCACGCACAGAACTCTACTTAATTCACAAGAATGAACATGAGCATCATCTCTTGCGGGGAAAAGGCACTAGGCATTTTTCAAAGCCAATGGTGCCTGGAAGGGCTGAGGCGCCCCATGTTTGCACCAGGAGTGTCTGGGGTCGCTGGGCAGTCCCTAAACTCACAACCGGCTGGAAGCCGGGCCCCAGCACTGCCTGGGCCCAGACCCAGAGCTGCTGTGACCACCAGAGCTAGCAGAGCCTCTGCTACCCCCTGCCTTAGCGGACAGTGTCCTCAGAACATCTCCAAAAGAACTGCCAAAGCACATAACAGAGAAATATCTCCCTGAGCGTCAACTGGCTGGAGGCCAGATCAGAGGATGGGCTGTGCACCCTCTGCTCAGGGTCTGCTGAACTGGTTTGTGGCTGAGACTCACACAGAGCACCTGAGTCACCCACGATAGCTGCCCTGGCCCCAGTTCTGGTCCCTGCAGGGGCCTCTGCCGCCACCACCACCGGGGCCCAGAGGGCACCACACTACCTACGGTCCACCTAGACCCAATGGGTGAGAGCATCAGCAGCCTGAGGTGCCTCGCACTTCCAAACACCCCAAAGTAGCCACTATGCCTCTGAGTGAAACTAGTTTTCTGAGAAATTTTGATGTGCAGGAGACACACCTACAAGCCACCTCTGGCTCTGCCAAACAAGCTCATTTATAGGGCTTTCTCAAGAGACTCATAAATAAATCCAAAAGAGATAAAAAGATGCAGTACATCTTCTTGGGCCTTCACATGGCTGAATAATCTGGGGGCACATCAAAGGGGCATGAGTTAGCTTGATGTCTGCCCAAACACAGTCCCCAATAACTACAACTGCAACAATCCAAAATCACCACCATGTCCCTGGCCAGACTGAAGTCTCAAGACGGACCTCACCAAGAAATTCACTGTCTCTGTCATCCCATTGTTCATCGATTTCCTCAAGCAGGCACCAGTAATGTCTCCATTCTTCCAAGCCCTGAGATTTTAGCAAGTGCCACATTGAAGGCTCTTTCAGGGTTAGAGGAATGAGACCCATCATTGTTACTGGGTTTTGGCATATTGAATACGCCATGGGGAGCTTGCCAGACTCTGCTGTGTGGGCAGAATACTCTCGGTAGCCTCCCGGGTTCTCGAGAGTGAGAACTAGACAATAAGAGGTCACGTGGCCACAAATGCAGCCACGCACTTCCGGAAGCTTGGTTTTATAATCTCTGGCTCTTGGCAATTGATGAGATTACACGGTGGAGTCGGGGGCAGTTGGTGGGTGTAACGCCTAGCTACTGGAAGATGGGGGATCTGGGTGGAGAAGGCTCAGTTCCAATCTGAGCAGGCTTGGAGATCTCAGGCCCGGGTCCTGCACACCTGGGTTCCTTTGCCGGTTCCTTCATGTGTGAGGCTCGTTTGAGTGTGTGGAGAGTGGTCTTAAGCATGGCTATGGCTGGCTTTGGAGGTCTTCAGCTGCCGGGTCTCTGCTTGGGGCGGGGACAGAAATTCAACCTGACCCCTTCAAGGGGCCCCGGTGAGGATAGCCAGGTGCAGAGGCAGGAGACTCTGCATTGTTCTCTTCAGGGAGCTTGATTTTATAGTCTCTGCTCTTGGCTGTTGATGGGATTATACGGTGAAGCCAGGGACAGTTGGTGGGTGTAACGCCAAGAAATTAATCTGCTAAAAATTCGAATATGCAGGTTTTGTGCATCTCGAAATCTCCAGGCTTCTCTCAGAGTCAAGATAGCTACCTCTGCCCACCTCCCTGTATTTCTGGAAGCCCCAGCCATGACATCCACAGCCTAAAGCTGACACATAGTGTTGAAAGCTGCTCCAGCCGTACATTCCAGATAAAAATACTAAACTCCCTGAACAAACATGATGACCTCTTGGTACCTGTAATGCAAACTATAGTGCACAAAAGAGGAGAGGAGAGAGAGAGAGAGAGAGAGAGAGAGAGAGAGAGAGAGAGAGAGAGAGAGAGAGAGAGAGAAGAAAAGTGACTGCCATAAAAGCAGGCAGGAGCAGGGATTGCTGAGGTATGGTGGTGGGAAAAAAACTGGGGATAGTGGTGGTGGGAAATATACACTGGTGAAGGGATGGGTATTGGACCACTGTGTGACTGAAACCCAATCACGAACACTTCGTAATCGTCTATCTCATAGTGTTGCAATAAAAAGAAAGACAGAAGGACTCATTGTCTTTCTCTCTCGGGAGAGAACATAAAGCGACACTACCATAGCCATGCCACTGAACCCTGAACTGTTTCATTCGGAACACCCTAACAGGGTGCAGGTGAGGCCCCTCCCTGCCCCAAGGAACCCAATCCCTGCAGCTGAAAACCCTCAGAACTCAACCACTGCCATACTCATGGCTGCTCTCCAGACTCAGCCCAAGCCTCACCCACTCAAGATGTCATACCTCACACCACTAATATTCCAAAAGTAGCACACTATATTTGGCGAGGTTTAAAGTAGAAGGCAACAAATCTTAGAGGAAAATATATTTTTACAGATATATATATCTGTAAAAATATATTTTTATATAAGGGCTGAAGCGATAGCACAGCGGGGAGGGTGTTTGTCTTGCACATGGCCGACCCGGGTTCGATTCCTCTGTCCCTCTTGGAGAGCCCAGCAAGCTACCGAGAGTATCCCGCCCGCATGGCAGAACCTGACAAGCTCCCCGTGGTGTATTTGATATGCCAAAAACAGTAACAACATGTCTCACAATGGAGATGTTACTTGTGCCCATTCAAGCAAATAGATGAACAGCAGGAGGACTGTGCTACAGTGCTATATATGTATATATAGTATGTATAAATACACTAGCCTCAACCTTCAATAACATGTTAGTAACCTCTTTTAGAAAGGCTTAATGGCCCCTGGGTGAAATACAACAATCTTCACACACTTTTCTCTAAGGAAACTTTCTTGTATCACTTTTAGCGGTTTATTCATAACAGACAATACAAAATGAATTATTTCGGTTCTGCTTTGGGGCAGGGGTTGGGATTCTGGATGGGAACATCCCAAATATGGTGGCGGGAAGGTGTTATGATGGTAGGATTGGTGTTCGAGTATTAAAATAATCAAATATTCTGAATTCATAAAAATTTTATAATAATAAATAGATAATTTTTTAAGAAAGAAAGGAAGACAGGCAGAAAGAAAGAGAGAAAGAAAGAAAGAAAATTTTAAAAAGAATTTACTGAACCATTTTTGGGGAGGCCACACACCACCGGGATGTTCCTGTCACAGTGGAGCTCCAAAAGCCTCACTGATAAAGGGCAAAGAATGGGAGAGTCAGCAGTTTGGGGAGGGGTACATCCCTTTGGCTGTCTTTCAGGGAACTGGAAATACCCCACCATGTGCACCTGGGAATAACCTGCTGTTCTCAGGAAACACTAGGGCTAATGGCATTGCTGAGAGGCCTGGGGTTCCTGTGAGGGTGAGTTGTGGTGTGGCACTGTGAGACCCCCATCCCTTTGTACCTCATTGACAATTAGATGGATATAAATACCAGGTGTGGCCTCTAATCAAGTTAAGGCCAGAGCTAGTTGTGTGACGAGGCACATCAGTAAACACACATCAGGAAGTTCTATGCTAATGCCTTTACTGCACAGTAACAGGGGTGATGAGGACATACAGGAGAGTCCACCTTGCGGTGTGTCCCCTCATCCTGAGGAAGATGAAAGGGGGAGACAGTACAGGAAGTCACCAAGGCAGGAGGAGAGGTCACTCATGGAGCAGAACATCACAGGGCTCCAGGCCCTTTTCCAGCCAGCCCCACGGACAGCTTTATGGCTCTCAGCTCTGTCACCAACTCATTCTTCACCCCCTTGACCATCCGGGTTCCAAGTCTCCGCCTCCTCAAGCTCCTGTCCCCCCTTGTTGTTTCCTGACGGTCCCTGCGACCTTCCCTGGCTGAGATGAACCTCGATGAGCAGAATCCCGAGGAGCAGCAGGACCACAGCGCCCACGAGCATCCGGTCGACATTATCCACCGTGTAGTCCTGGTGGTGGGTGGGTGACAGGGGAGGGTCTAGTGGGGACAAAGGTCTGGAGTGAGCTGAATAGGGCTCGCTTCCCTAGACAAGACATCCCCCTCTACCCCCTCCCAGAGTGGCCCACCCTCTGCTGCTGGAATCGTCCTGAGCTGGGCTGAGGGTAAAGTGGAGGCTGGTCCCCTCTGGGACAGCCACATCACAATTTTCTAGTTTTTTTTTCATTAAAAAGTCACTGAAATTATAGGGTTACAAAGATATTTATGATTGAGTTTCAGCCACCTATTGTTTGAACACTGACCCCTCACCAGTGCCCACTACACTCCACCAGTGTCCGTGTTCCGCCCTGCTGCCAGCCTGACTCTGGCAGGTATTCCCCCTTCCTCACTGTCCAGTGTTCCCTTCCTTAACTCCCCTCCCCCTGACCCAGGACCAAGCTTCCTACCAAAGCCAAGTTCTGCTCTTTATTTCTATGGCCCCAATATTCCCCTACAAGGTTTCTTCATATCCCACACATGAGAGATCACTCCGGTCTGTTCCTCTCTCTCTGATTTCACTCAGCACGATTCTCTCCAGTGGATCTCTGTGTGTTTTGTTTTCGTTGCACACAGGCAGTGTTCAGCGATCACTCCTAGAGGTACTTTGAGGACACTTTGGGACGCTGGGGATGGAACCCACATCAACCTTAGCAAGGCAGAGCGATAACTGTTGGGCTCTCTCTCTGGCCTCTGTCAATGCATAAGCTTAGTGACAACATCAGTAGATCAAGGCACTTGTACAAACTGAGTTATGTGATCACCGTTACATGTAAATGTATTGTACCTGTGTTCTATACCTATGGTTACATGCTTAATATATAGCACATTAAAGAAACATTATATACTTTATTGATTTTACAAGCGGCCAACATGGCCGACCCGAGTTCGATTCCTCCGCCCCTCTCGGAGAGCCCGGCAAGCTACCGATAGTATTCGATATGCCAGACACAGTAACAACAAAAGTCTCCAATGGAGACGTTACTGGGCCCGCTCGAGCAAATCGACGATCAACGGGAGGGCCTTTACCTTTACCTTATAAAATATGTAAGTCTAATAATTAATTAAATTAAAGGCCCTCCCATTGATCATCGATTTGCTCGAGTGGGCCCAGTAACATCTCCATTGGAGACTTTGTTGTTACTGTGTCTGGCATATCGAATACATCATGGAGAGCTTGCCAGGCTCTGCCATGCGGGCGAGATGTAATATGTATTTATGCAGGTGACACTATTTACATACACACCCACTTCTCTCTGTGGACAGAGAGAGTCGTGCTCAATGTGTAGGTGGGAGAATGGGCAGTTCCTGTCTGGGTCTGTGTGTGTCAGGCCAGTTACCAGCAGCAGGAGGAGGAGGAGGAGGCCATGTCTCAGAGTCCGTCAATCTCTCCCATTCTAGCACTATGGGCAGGGCCAGGGGGGTGGGGGATAGGGCCTCAGGAGGGAGGGTTTTCTGTCCCTTTATTCCCAGGGGACACTGTCTCCACACTCTGTGAATCAAGACCCCAATACCCCCTCAGCCCACTGCTGACACTGGCTCCCCTGTGAGACAACACCCCAATAATCTGGATGGGACCAGGGTGGGACTCACCTGAGACCAGGAGATGCAGGGGGTTGCTGGGCTGAGACCACACTTGATGATCATACATATAGCCATAACACCTGAAGGTCCAGTTGGGTCCAAGGCTCAGGGGGCCCACAGAGAACAGGGCCTGGAATGTCCCACTGGGGTGTGGCTGTGAGTCCAGGGTCTGGGAGGGCCCAGATTCTCCCTCCTGAGTCAGAGCCAAACCTTTGAATTTCTTCCGTGAGTGACACTGGAGGGTCACGTTACCCCCTGAGGTTACAACAGGGCTTGGCAGGGCGGAGAGACAGGGTTTGTTGTAGGATCCTAGTAAAGAAGACAGGGCTCCTGGGTCATACCGACACTCCAGGGAGATGCCTGAGAGCAGAGCCCCTCCCTTCTGGGGTCCCCAGGCCCCAAAGTCTCACCTGTGACCATCAACTGCAGGGAGTTGCTTTCTTTTGAGCACCCCAAGAGGTCACACTGCTTACAGGTGTACCAGGCTGCATAGCTGTTACTTGTGATGTTCATGGAAAGCTTGATCTTGTCACCAGATTCCAGTGGAAGTTCTATCTGTCTGACACCTGTATGTTCAATTCCTTCAATGACATACGTCTGAGTCCCCAGGGTTCCCTGACACCAAAAGGTCACAGAGTTCCCCTGGGGGATCACAGAGCCTGGCTCAGCCCAGAGGGTGGGTCTGGGCAGGGTCCCTGGAAAGAAGAAGAGGCTTGCTAGACATTTCTGCCCCATCTCGGCTCTTAGATCAGGGCCCCCACATGCCTCCAGAACTGCTGGCACTATTCCAGCTGTGGTCCCATACACACTCACCTGCATGCATGGGGGTCCCGGTGCCCACACTCAGCCCTGGAAGAGAGATCCTGTGAGAGTCTGTCCTGAGCCTGAGGGAACCTCGTCCCAGGGCCCCCCAGACTCAGGTCTCTCTTGCTGACTCACCCAGACAGAGCAGGGCCATGGAGGGGGGGGGGGGTCATGTCGTCTCCACCTGTCCTGGTCGAGCCATGGGAACTTGGAGCCCCACAGGTCAGGCACAAGGTGTGACCTTGGGGTTGGTCCTGTGTATCATGAGGTGTCACATCAGAGCCCTCAGGAAGAGGAACTGTCCCAGTCCCTCTCTCTTGCTCAGTGATAACCCCCACTGCACAACTGTGCTTAGGACTGATCTTGTCTGTGATGTGTAGGGACAAGGCGGTGATCACATGACAGACAGAGGTTCTTGAGGCTTAGGGAGACGAGGGCTTTGAGTACTGGAGCAAGAGCAGCACAGCCTTTGCAGCCATCGACTGGGAGCACTGGAGAAGGAGTAGTGTTGAGCAAGCACTGCGAGAGCATCAGCTGATCGTGACAGCTCCCTGTCAGTGAGGCCTGTGAGGTGCTGTCAGTGTGCCATGTGGCCCCGTGTCCCTGTGGAAAATGTTTGTGTCTGTACCTGTCCCTGTCCAGCTGTGGCCCTCAGGGGGTGGCAGGTGAAACATGGAGCCACAGCATGTTTGTTTATCATTTTGCACATGGACGCCCAGAAGATCTTTTTTATCCCTGTGTGAGACTCAAATTTCTTCATCTGACATCTCCCAGGATCCTTGGGACAGAGGAACACTGGAATCCACCGGAGTGGCAGATTGTTCCTTGTAAAATTCAGTGAGAGAGAAAGAAGGAGCCTCACTGCGACACTCACGGAAAGATCCCACACTCACAGGAATTGGTCCCTGGTGCTGGTTCTAGAGGGACAGATCTGGGTCATGGGCAGACCTGGTAACAACGTCGGTGTGGAGGAAGGACAGGAAATGGGTCCCATTCAGCCAGGGGAGGGTTGCAGCCACCAGAGTTCGACCCTTCCCACACTATGACTAATATCCTCTTCCATATTTGGGGGTCGGCATTCTCAATGCTCAGGGTTACTCTTGGCTCTGCACTCAGGAATTAGTCCTGGCAGTGTTCTGGAGGTTATCCTGGGTGTCAGAGATTGAGCCTTGGATCGCCTTATGCAAGGAAAGTGCCCTCCACGCTGTCCTGTTGCTCCATCACTCTGATTTTTATTTCTTTTTCTTTTATTTATTTTACAAAACTTTCATAATAAATTGTTATAGACATTCAATATTCCAACACCACTCCCATCACCATTGCACCTTCCCACCACCATTGTTTCCAACTTTCCAACCACCGCTTAAGTCTTGCCTCATTGCAGGCCCTCAATAAATTATTTCATACTGTCATAAATAATTTGTTGAAAGAATGACCAAAAAGCTTTCCTTAGAAGAAATTCAGTGAAGATTGTTGTATCTCACCATAGAGCCACTAAACCCTTGTAAAAAGATTACTAAAATGCTGTTACAGGTTAAGTGTTCCATGTTTATATTTTGTTAATCGAGATTGTTTGCTTTCTATATTACACCCCATCCAATATGGTGTGTTTTTCTTAGTTTATCAGTGTTGCAGATTTTGAGATGTTCCACGGCCGCTAATGTGACCGCGTCTCAAGGATGTGCAGAATTTTTAACAGAGTGATACAGCTGGAGTTAATTTTAACTGAGGTGATGGCTTTGGGGCATGTACATGACTGCTGGGTTTTCCAGAAGTCCAGGGAGATGGAGGAAGGTAGTCCACCCTCCCCACCCCCCATTTCATGGAAGCCTGGATATTTCAGTCACAAAATCCGCATACCTGAGTTTTTTATGCCCCCTGCCCCCTCCCAAGGGTCCCCACTCACAGTTGCTAGAATCGAGCTTGCCCTGAGCTGGGCTCCTGGTGGCGGCTGCTTTTGAGAATGGTCGGGTGTGTGTGTGTGTGAGGAACTCTGAGATCTTAGAAGTGTCTCCTGGGTTCTCCTGCTCCCCTGCAGCCTGCGGGTTCCTCTCCTCCTTAACTCCCTTCAGGTGCTTCCTCAGGCTCCCTCAGCCTCCCCGAATATCTGGATTCAGATCCTGCCTGAGTCACTTTGGAGCCGAGACCATGTAGTAAGGCCTCCATGTTCCTGAGAATGGGGTCCGCTGTGCAAGGGAGCACGTCTCTGCTCAGACCCGCTCATCCCCAGTGCTTGTTCTCAGGCTGAGGACCTGTCCCTTGAAGGGAGTGAGGGGTTCCCGAGTGTGGGAGGCTGAGGGTAATGGGGGAGCGGGGTCCCTTTCACTTCCCATCAGCCCTGTCCTCTGCTCTGGATCTATGTGTCTTGGCAGCGCACCTGGCACTGCTCAGGGATCACTCAGGCGGGTCCTGTCAGGAATCCTCCAGCTGACTCCCTCCATTTGAACCAACCCTCCAGAGCCCAGGGAGTTTTAGGGGGGAAGGGGCACCCTCAGAGAGGTTTGAGCAAAGCCCATTCTGTGCATCAGAGTCCTGAACTCAGGATGCGTCTGTTCTGGTCTCAAACTATTAGCAAAGCAGAGAGTCAAAGGTGACTAGTACAGACCAGAGAGTATTACTGTATCACTTTCATCCCATTTTTCATTGATTTACTCGAGTGGGCACCAGTAATGTCTCCATTCATCCCAACCCTGAGATTTTAGCCACCTCTCCTTACTCATTTTTCCCAACAATTGGAGGCTCTTTCAGGGCCAGGGGAATGGACCTGTTATTGTTAGTATTTTTGGCATATCGAATAAGCTACGGGGAGCTTGCCAGACTCTGCCGTGTGGGCAGGATGCTCTTGGTAGCAGGCCAGACTCTTCGATATATATATATATATCTATGATTTTATGGAAAATGGGTAGGAGTATCTTATGATGTATCACGTGGCTGCTTTGCAGCTACGGAATACAGAGAGTAGAAAAACAGAAATAGGGCCTGTGTCAGTCTCTTACCCACTTTGTGTAAGAACCTAGGGAATGAGAACTTAAGGCAAGTTCAGTCACATGCACCCCTCAAACATCCAACATGCATAAGCCAGCACAGTCAGCCACGTGAGTGAGACAGATGCTGCTGAGTGGGGTTCAGCTCTGGGGTGTGACACTGAGCCCTGGGTGTCTCATTCATGTTTATGGTCATTGTTGATATCTGTCAGCGAACACTGATGATCAATCAATCCCTAATGGAACAGGAAAGGGATTGAGATGGGAGAGCCCTAGATGCAGATTTCAAGGGACCCTTTAAGTAATCTTTGGGGTCCACTGTGCAAGTTTGTGGAATGAGCCTCATCCTTAAGACTCACTCTGTGTTCAGAAGGACCTGAAGTTGGTTATAAGGAAAATACGTCATCAAAATGCTCATAACACAAAATGTACACTGCAATAAAGTGCCACGGGCCCCACTGAGAACAGGGCTGCCCACTGGGGTGTGGCTGTGACTGCAGGTACGAGGACTGAGGCTCTCCCTCCTGAGCCAGAACAAATCTGTGGAATCTCTCTGAGGAGCTGCACTGGAGGGTCACGGTCCCTCCAAAGGCCACCACAGGACTTGGCAGGATCGAGAGGGACGGTTTGCTGTAGACTCCTAGGAGGGGACAGGGCTTACAGGGTCACACCCCACCTGCTGAGTAGAGAAATCCCTGAGAGCAGCACAGAGCCCCGAGTGAGTCTCATCTGAGACCACCAGTCCAGAATGCCACCTTCTTCTCAGCACCCCAGAACCCACAGTCTCACAGGCATACAGCCCCACAGCTTTGAGCCCCACAAAGTTCATATGGCGCCTGCCCTTGTACCCCGATTCCAGTGAAATTTATATTGTCTGGGGACCTGAGCTTCCTGCTCCTTTCAGAAGGTACTTCTGTGCATCTGGGGTTCCCAGACACCAGGTGGTCACAGAGCTCCCATTAGCTACAAAACTGCCTGCTCACCCCATAAGGTTGTTTTGAGGAGGGTCCCTGGAATGAACCAGAGACTTGTCACAGACATTCCCACCCCAGTCAAAGCTCTTGACTCAGGACCCCCTTCCCTCCCACCACCATTTGGACTGCTGTCCCTATCCCAGCTGTGGGCTTTGTCCTGGGGCTTCCTGGCTCTGGGGACACTCACTTGCCTGCACGGGGTTCCTGGTGCCCACACTCATCCCTGGGAGAGAGACCCTGTGAAGGTCTGTCCTGAGTCTGAGGGAACCTCTTCCCAGAGACACCCTAAACCCAGATCCCCTGACCCTGGCTCCACAG